CGGGCAGCTGGTCGCGTCTCGGCCTGCGGAGTGGAATGCTCTGTCCAGCTTGCTCGAAAAGATCGCCCTGGCGCTCGACGATTGGAATGGTGAGTTCGAGGGGGCCAGAGCTAGCCTGGACAGTCGTGCCGAGGTGAGCTGGGGCCCAATGGCAGCAAGACAAGAGGCGCTGACGGGACTTGCCAGGGATATTCGCAAGCTGTCTCTTTTGCAGCCTACGTGGCTCCGGGCGGCCACCGAAACGGCCTTTTTTTCTCTCTCCTTTTTTGTTTTTTTCTTTCTTCTTCTTCTTCTTTCCTTTTCCTTTTCTGCTGGCCCGCGTTGAGCTGCTCGCGAGTGAAGCCGGCGCCTTAAGGCCCCGCTGGGAGGCTACTCCGCGTCCTAGGCCCTAAGCCGCTGGAGGCATTGGACCGCGGTTGTTTTGAGCGCCTTGGGCCCGAAGATATCTGCGCCACGCGTGGAACGTTTAGCCCGCGCACGGCGCAGAGCCTGGGCGGAGTTTACGTCAAGCATTATGGCATGCTGTGCAACGAAGGCCTCGAGGCCCTCTGCTGTTATTCCAGGCGATCGAGAAGATCTGTGTTTTCCCGAAGGCGGTGCGCTGGATGTTCCCCCCCCGCTTGAAAAACCAAGAGGGGGGCTGGGGCCCGTCTTGCCCAGCGCGGCCCCCGTTGGGCCTGGGGGCTGGGCCTTCGGAGCGGGCGAGTCGGTCGAAAGCGGCATCTGGAATCAGGCCGTCAAGGCCGAGACTGAAGGGGTTAATGGGGGAGTGGCGGGGGGTGTTCTCCCGGGATGGCTCGAAGTACTGCGACTCGTTTAGGCTCGCCGCTCTCCGCGATCGATCGCTGGCGGCTGGATTGCCGCCGGTGGTGGTCAAGGTCGCCTTCAATATCTGGCGGGGCCCGAGGATTCTGCGGTTCGGCACGGACCATAGCCTGGTTCCGCTCAACGCCAGGCGCGGCCTTCCCGCGGGTTCGTGCCTCAGCGATATCTGCGTCGAAGAGATGCGCTCGCCCCTTTCGGCGGTTTTCTGGGGCGCAATAGTGACGTGGACCTGGCCTCGCACATTGATGGCGACGCCGTCAGTGCGCATGGGGGCCCAGGCCGCGTCGCGGAGGCGCTCGGGCAAGCTGCCGAAAACCCCCGCGAGGTTTTCACGAGGGAACTTCGGGCTGGCCTTGCGGCTGACAGTCTTTTGACTTTTGCCTCCGCCCCCATCGTTGTCGGTGCGGCTTGGGCGCGGGCTCGGAGCGCTGGCGGGAACGGCGGGCGCCCATGTGGTTTCCTCGGGGGTGGATTTGGCTCCTGGAGTTGAGCGCGCTAAGCAGAAATCGCGCAGTAAGCGCAAGTCCAGGGTTGTGGTGGATATGATGCGTCGGCATCGAAATTCCCAGCGTCTCAAGAAGGCGCTTCCCGGGGGCCATGGCCGCATCGGAAACATGTGCGCGGCGGGGGTCCGACCTGCCGTCTCTTTTCGGGGGCGCGGTTACTGGCGCCACGGATTCTGGGTTGAAGCGTATGAGATCGGTCATGTTGTCTTATCGGTCGCCTGCCCATGCCGAAGTCTTAGTCGAAGCCAAAACGGTGCTGCGCGGTGACCCCGTCTGGCGCAGCATCGTCGCGCTTGCCTTAGCTTGGGCCAGCGCCGTTTGGCAAACGACAACTAAGCCTGTTATCGTTCACTTCACGATGCCCGAGCTGCGCCGCATACGCGCGGCGTTTTCGACGGAAGGACTGACGTGGGCGAAAACGAAGGGGCCGATCGGGAGAGCGCGGCTCTCTCTTGATAGGATTGGTTGGAAAGCCGAGAGGCCCTCTCGCTGGACCGACGATCGTGGCAACGAGCTGCCCCTCCTCTACAATTCCCCATGCCATGCAGAATTCCTTGTTCAGGGGGGGTGCCCAGGGGCGCCAGGAGAGGGCCCTGGGGGCGCCCCTCCTGGTTGGGGAGAGGGGGAAAGAGCAAGCGCGGGGCCCATTAGAAGGATCACCGAGGCATCGGAGAAAGGCGCGGGCTTGAACGCGCAAGGCAAGTGAATGGTGAGAGCCATGTATTGCGACTGCTGTTGGTGCGAGGATCGCGCGGCCAGTGCCGGTTTTTTATCTCAGGGATTGCGCCCGCTGTGCAATGCTCGCTCCACCCGTCAGCGCGATTGCGAGGAGCCCCGGGATGTTAAATCAGCTCGCGAGGCTGTCCAGGCAGTGATTACGTGTTCCAGAAGGCGCGAGAAGGCCCCGAGGAGTTCTTCACAGGACTCGAGTTTCGTCATCCTGTTAGTTGTTGGCCACCGCCGAGCGACGAGCACGGGCCCGTCTTGTGCGATGCCGACGGCGCCCGCATGGACTGGAACGAGTTTGGCACCATTGGTCTGAGTGTGTCAGGCGATGATTCGTGTGCCCCGCACGCCATGAAGAAAGTATCCCGGGCTTCCTACGCGTGGGTCTTCGCGTGTCCCGAAGGACAGCAGGTAGCTGCGGCGAAGGGGGCAGCTTGGCCTTCTTTGCCGCGAACGAGTCAGGCAGCTGAACATCTTCAATTCAGCCTACCACTCATATTTGTTCCCAGATGGCGATGCGCGTTGCCATGATTGTATGAATGCGGTGCGGTTGCGCAGCAGTGCGCCCCAGCAGCAATTGAGCCGTACATATACGTGCTCAGGATAGCGCCGCGGCGTCCTCCAACCCTCCAACACATGGTGGCGAACGCTTATGCACTTGCAGTGTACAAGCGCCAGCGCGCCGATGCCTTAGCGCAGTCGATGCTCTCCGCGCCCCCGACAGGTGGATCGGTCAGGCCAACTGGGCGAGCGGACGCCGAAGCCGAGCAAGCGATTGCGTTGCACCCCAGGCCTGCGCAGGCTGGGTGGGAAGCAGTCAGCAGCTCGATAGGAGATCCCGAAACGGCGGCGCGCCTAGCGGCGAGCATCCCCCCGCGTTTCCCGATGGCCTAACGCCGGGGCCCCCCGAAGCGTGATCGTAAGATCGAATTGTTTCAATCGGCAGATGGCTGGCATTATTGGGAACCTTGGTTGTGGGGCCATCGTTGCAGCAGCTGCCTGAAGTTTTATGGTGGAGGAGTCCCGGCCAGACCCGAAGTGGGATGCACTGGCTTCCCTTTCTTGGCGATGGAGCTCTTGACCTCGAGCCAGAATCGCGGCCGCCAGCTGGCCAGCGCCCAAGTCGCGGATCAGGAGCCCCCCCTGTTCTTTTGTATGTTGCGTGGATATTTCGCCCATCATCGAATTCATATGATGTCTCAGCGATGCGCGAGACTGCGCGGCGACGAGGGCAGAAGTAGTGCAGGGGCCACGGCACTCAGGCGTTTGAGGAAGGGGTTTCGCCCCAAGAAGCCGTGGCCTGTTTCTTGTGCTGCTCAGGAGTCGGCCGCTGCCGCAGAGGTCACCCAGTATTCAGAGGCATCCAGGCCTTTCTCCATCCCTGTCTCTGCCAGGCCGCTCGAAGACCTAGCGGCCGCGTGGGCTCGCGCGCGTGCGGGAGAGTTTGGCTGGGACGGGTCGGGGGTGGGGTCGGTGGGTGAGGGGGTCGTGGAGCGCCGCAGGTCGCCCGCGAGGCGCGCGGCGCGCCCAGGTGTTGTGCTCGACGCGGAGGACGGGCGGCCCGCCATGTCTTCAGGGAGGAGGCTGGCCCGTTCGCGTCCGCCTCCGCCGCTGCCGTCCCTTGCCGCCGCCTCAGGAAAGATGAGGTCGAGGCCCCCCTCGTTGGTACAGTTGTCGTTCAAGGGTCGGAGTCTGGCTCCGATTGGAGGCGAAGGGCAGCCATGGACCAAGGAGGTGACCTGCGGGTCGCCGTCGTGGTCGCTGGCTGCCCTCTGCTTTGTTTCAGGCTGGCGCAGTTGGAGGTGCTTGCAGAAACTGGTTCGGCCAATTGTGGCCCCCAAAAAATCCTCCCTCCTCCCTCCTCCCCATCTCATCCTTGCCTCAGCCCTCCGCGCGTCTTCATCGTCATCAGCAGCATCATCAGCAGTTTCGGCACACCCCCCACACGTTTCGTGGCCCTCTAGGGAGCTCCACCGAAGGCCCCAGTGGCGACGTTCGCACGTGGGCGTCGCGCTCATGTGGGCACACCGCACACGCTTCGTGGCCCCATAGAGAGCTTCACCTGAGGCCCCAGTGGCGACGCTCGCATGTGGGCGTCGCGCCCGTTTCGGCAGAACCTTCACACGTTTCGTGGCCCCCTGAGGAGTTTCACCGAAGGCTCCAGTGGCGAAATGCGCATGTGGGCGTCGCGCCCGTTTCGGCACAGTGCTCACACGCTGTGTGGCCCCATGAGGGGCTCCACCGAAGGCCCCAATGGCGACGTTTGCATGTGGGCGTCACGCCCGTTTCGGCACACCCTTTCTAAGGTTCGTGGTGTCATAGGGAGCTCCACCAAAAGGCCCCAGTGGCGGTGTCCACATGCGGCTGCCCCTACGTGGCCCCAAATGGAGCTCCACCGAAGGTTTTAGTGGCGGTGTCCACATGCGGCCGCCGCACCCAACCCGGCACACCCCACGTTCCGTGGCCCGATCGGAAGCTCCACCGAAGGCCCCAGTGACGGCGCCTACATTGCGGCTCCGCCCAAGTTCGGCACATCCGTCACACGTTTCGTGGCCCCGTAGGGTGTTCCATCTAGAGCCCCAGTAGCAGCGCCCGCATGGTCGCCCTTCCCATTTCGGCACGCCCTTCACACGCTTCGTGGCCTGGAAGGGGATTCACCGAAGGCGGCCCTCACAACGACGGTACTCGCAACTGCGTATGATTGGGTCGTTCGCCAAGACATGTTTCCAGCCGCCGAGTTGTTCTACATTTTCCGCCTCCCGCCAGGGCCGTTCTCGAGCCTCAGGGCCACCAAAAACGTTACCAGGGCGAAGACCTGATCTTGCGGAATTACTTCGGGAGGGGGGTCTGGGACAGCTGATCGGACAAATCTATTCGGACGTCCGGGGCTTTGATCTGCATGACGACGCTGTGACTTCCTCGCGACGGTGGAACCTTGGGGAGGAGCTCGGGGTCCAGCTCGTCAGCGTCGGGAAGGGGCCCCCGCTGCTGCGTGTCCTGGGCTTCAAGCGCGACATCCGGGTGGTCGCGAGGGACGTGCAGCAGGTGGTGGACAGTAAGGCCGCGGACGACGGGATCTATGCATATCGACTACCCGTTGGCCTGGCCCATCCTGGGTTCATGAGCGGTATGTATGTCTCCTTGGCCTAGCAAGGAGGGTGTATACCCAGAACCACGACGTCGCGATTCTTCCACCATGTGAAGCCCCAAACGTTTCGACCCATTCCGCAGGGCTGGCTTTGCATCCCTACGTAGCCGTTTTTTGACGGTCCCAGGACCCAGCGAGAGAGCCCCTGGAGGCAGACACTGCCCCAAACCTCCCGTCTCGATTTTTCTCACGAGGCGAGCATGTCTGGGTACAGATCTTGTGGTCCTACAGATCGCGGACGGGCGCCTGGCGCTCCAGTGCCGGGACGGCAGGCAGACGCTCCAGGCGGGCGGCACACAAGCAAGAGGGGGAGGGGGAGGGAGAGGGGGAGGGGGAGGGGGAGGAGGAGGAAGAGGAGGAGGAGGAGGAGGAGGAGGAGGAGGAGGAGAAGGAGGAGGAGGAGGAGGAGGAGGAGGAGGAGGAGGAGCCTTCCGCGTGAGTAAGGCCGCGCGTCGGCGCCCTCTTCGCCGCGTTGGCCTGCGCCACGCCGGCGGCCTGCGTGGACCATCGCGAGCCGATGGTTCTCTGGACGTTTGTTAGCCCAGTGCGCGCGCGCGCGCGCGCGCGCGCGCGTGTGTGTGTGTGTGTGTGTGTGTGTGTGTGTGTGTGTGTGTGTGTGTGTGTGTGCGCGCGCGCGCGCGCGTGTGTGTGTGTGTGTTAGTGGGCCACGTGCGAACCCTACCCCTACCCCCCACGATTTCTGAGGGGTAGGGTGGGGTTCACTCACTTCGCTCGTGTGTGTGTGTGTGTGTGTGTGTGTGTGTGCGTGCGTGCGTGCGTGCGTGCGTGTGCGTGTGCGTGTGCGTGTGCGTGTGCGTGTGCGTGTGTGTTTGTGTGTGTGTGTGTGTGTGTGTGTGTGCGGCCTAAGGGTGAAGAAGGAGGCGCCCCCATCCACATATCCTACAGGTTCTCAGTCACCGCTCGCATAGCAGACATGAAGGTGATCTGGCCACCTCCGCCTGGCGGACCCATGCCCGACGACTACGGGGTTCCTCGTCGCCAGCTTCGTCGCCAGACGCGGGGTCTTTCACCCAGACAACACCACCGCCACCAGGCCCAGGGGCCCAGACGATCCCCCACTCCTTCCTTGCGCGGCATTTCCGCCCGGCCGATCGTCTGCCGCGCGCGCGCGGCATTTCCGTGCAACCGCCTAGCGACCGCGCGCGCGGCATCATCGTCCCTCGCAGCCTTTCCGCCCAGTCGACCAACGTCGCTCTGTGCAGCGTTTTCGTCTAGTCGATGCCCTTCGGCAAGAAGCGGATCCAGCGGCGGGGCATCGGACTCATCGGGATCAAGACATCCCCCTGGGACTCTTGCTTCGAAGGCGCCCGACCGCCTCGGGTTCTTGCTCTCAGGGAACTTCGCAGATTTCAAGGCCCTCGCTGCAGCCGTGGGGGTCGCAGTGGATGGCGGGGATCCTCGTGTCATGTGGGCGTTTCAGGTTCAGGCCGACATGCTCGCATTTTCCCGTCTCGGCTATCCTGTCAAATTTGCATCGGCCGCGCGGGAGTGCCTGGTCACCTTGGGCCCTCTGTGAGTTCTGATTGTTCAATGTTTACGGCTTCTTGTCCCAGCTTGCAGGCGCCTTATTTTTTCCGGTCGATGCCATCGCGGCTCAGCTTTCATTTTGCACTTTCCTGCTTCGCCCGCGCCGCCAGAACAGGAGACCCCCCCCCCTCTGCAGCGGCCATGGGAGGGAAGCATCCGAATCATCATCACATGCAGTAGTGCCAGCAACAAAGGCAACGGCACCAGCCTCCTGGCAGCTTAGGCGCAGGTTTCGACTGCCTTATGGCCAACCTCAAAAAAATCATGGAAGACATCTGGAGCTGCGGCGAGATGACCGCCCCGTCGACGCAGATTAGCGCATGTCAAGCAGGCGCGTGATGCGGCGGAGCAGGCTCCTGCCAAGGAGCCGGCTCAGGCGCTGCAGGCTGCGATTCGTCCAGCGGCCGCCGCGGCGCGGGCGGGCGCGTGGCTCGAGGGGGCGGCCGAGCGCTCGGCGGAGTTCGCGATGCCGAGCTGGGGCCCCCCGGCCCCGACCCAGAGGTCAAGCGTCTTCGCGGTGATCTGGGCGCGCTTGCAGGTCGCGCCACGGGGCCGGGGCGCCGCCGAGAGCGAGAACGTCAGCTTATAGAGTCAGGCGGCATGCACGGGGGCCAAGCGCACGATGAAGCAGCTCCTGGAGAGGTTCGACGGGGCCGCGGCCCAAGAAGTGCCAGACATACCGGTGGCCCTGCGACCGTGGTGCTGGAAGGCGACGCCTTTTTCCGGAATCAGGTCTTCCTGGCCACCCACAGCTCGGCGGCCAATGTCTTCAGTGTCCACTGCACCGCGCAGTAGAAGAGCACGAAGCAGTCTCGCCCGCAGGAGGGGCTCCCCTGCGTGAGCTGGTTGGAGACTGTCGCCAAGATCAGGATCTTGGCCCAGTGGCAGACCAAGCCGGGGAACCTGGGCAAGAACGAGATAGCGTGTTCTTCTTCCGCCACTTCGCTGCGGATGCCGAGATTATTGCGCGCCCGTTGCAGCCAAATCCGCCCGCTGCCTGAGCGTCTTCCATGCATGATGAAAGAAGCGATGATTTCATTCATGGCTCATATGATGTACATGCACATTTCAAGCCCGTACGAAAGACATCATCATCACGTGTTAAGCAACCACCTCATGCCTCCGAGAAGCAGCATTCCGAGACAATGTGTCATGCGAAGGTGGAGTCGCATGTATCTCTTGGGAGCATGTTCAACGACCTCAATACCATTCTTGTCGTACCGTGGCATTGGTGTCTGGTTATGTTGCTCGGCTTTCTTGTCCTGGCGGTTTGGCAGCCAGGCCTCTTTTTTGATGGTCGACGTGGTCGCTTCCCAGATTCGGTGGACCACCTTGGACACGCTCTCGTTCGCGTGGTGGACCAGGTTCCACTCTGGCTTGGCAGTCTTTTTTTTCATGAGTGTGCTACGTGTTTGTTGGTTCCAAAGCTTTCGAAACAATTTTGATGATCCTGCCTCCGACCCTCCAGGCCCCGAGGATCCAGAACCTAGCAGCTCTGATTTGGATCATGCTTTTTGTAGTGGCCCGCGTTTGGTGGGCGACTGTGAGGGAATCTCGGATGCCCCATCAGGGGGGGCAGCGATTTTTTGCGACGCTTGCTCCCAGCATTCCAGCATGGTGGCCTTACCGAGCGAGATTGCTGCGTACGCGCCATCCTGGCCTCCCAAAAAGTAGTTCAGCCGCCTCTCTGGACTAGTGCCCACACACCCCGAACTTCCGGGAAGGTCGACCAAGGCGAATGAAGGCGTTTGATTGTTTTTTATCCACCCTTCTAGAGGTGGTTGTGTGTGTGGTGTGCATTAACACCTCTGGCAGCCCATGGCCTGATAGGCCATCTTTGTTGCATCGTTCTTGCACCCCACGCTTGTTGCATCGCACTTGTTTGAATAAATTACAATGCCAGGGCTCTGGCACGCGCTCAGGCGTTGACTGGCACGGACAGTGCGCACATCTGATGTGTCTCGGCAGTGGCAGCGCTTCATAAAACGGCTTGATATTGTAATCGAAAGTGTTTCTGCGGGCTTTCGTTGCACCGTCAGCCTACCTTGAAATGTTTGATTTGGGGGTTGGACTAGGAGCCGAATATTACATCTATACTAATTCACTTCATGGTGTACGTGTGTGTGTGTGTGTGTGTGTGTGTGTGTGTGTGTGCTCGTGCGTTACCCCGCTCAGCCACACCGGAAGCGCGCAGCCTGTTTCGGTGATCGTCACGTTGCATGCGTCGCACCGCAGGGCTCCGTGGACAAGCCCGCGTTGGCGCCAGCACGCGTCCCGAGAATCATCGAGCGAAGTAGGTCGCCGTGCACTCGAGCGCGCCCACTTCTTTCCGGGTGTTGCCAGAAACGTCCCTGGCCCAGGGCGTCACCAAGATTCCCAAGGAGGCCCAGAGAACCTTGTCACGAGGGTCAGAGGGGCCCCCGGGGGCGCCAGCGTGCAACGAAGAGCCGAGACACCCCGGGCCAGGCCGCTCCTCGCGGAGGGATGTCGGGCCTCTTCCTGCTCCTGCGCCTTCTCGTCCTCCTCCTGGTTACCAGCCTGATCCTTCTTCTACTCGTCCTCCTGCTCTCCTGCTCCTTCTCCTCCTACTCCTCCTCCCGCTCTCTGACATCCGTTGGACCGCTTTGTTTCAGTCCAGGGCCCTCGAGGTCACGACCGCTTCCCCGGGATCCATCTTTGCTTGTCCTCTTTCCCGAGGTCAGGTCCCCGAGGGCCGACATAGTGAAAAAACGCTTGGATCAGAAAGCGCATAAACGTCGGAGTTTCTCAACCACCAACTTTTTTTTCTGGGATCAAGTGGGAACCCGACCCCTGTGGATCCAAGCGACGCTGGGGTATCGGAGACCCCAGATGGGGCTCACTTGGCTGCAGGCGTCCCTCAAATTTTGAGCCCGGGCCAGTTTTTCAGACATCTGTCCTGCAGAGGTGGGGTTCCACACGTGGTTGCCTACTTTTCGGCGGCGAGCCAGGGGGGGAAGTAAGATGGGGCTGGCCTTCTCGGTGGCGGGGCTTCTCAGAAGCCCTCCGGCCTTCTGAGAAGCCGCCTCTGTCTTCGGAGCAGGCTTCGGAGAAGGTTTAAAGCACTTTTTAGAAGGCGCGAGGGCTTCTGAGAAGCCCCGCCGCCTTCTGACAACTCCTGCCCCTTCTCACTTCCCCCAGGACTCGCCGCCGAACTTTCCCCCCGGCGCCCAGGTGGTCCTCTCGAAGGCGCAGCCGGCCCAGCTCGAGCTCGTCCTGCGCAGCCTGCGCGGCGGCGGCGCGGCGGGCGCGCAGAGCGCGGCCAGCGCCGGCGGCGGCGCGCCCCCCCAGAAGCGCGCCAGGACGATTGCGACGCCCGCCCGGGGCGCACCCGCGGGCAGCGCGGGGCCGAGCGCGGAGGCCGCCACGAAGCAGAGCCAGACGTGCTCGCACCGTGGAAAAGTCACGACGCCGTGGTCGTGCGTCGCTTTCGGCCCCTGGGGGCCCTCGCCAGGTCGCGGGACCGTCGAGCAACAGCTCAGGGTGCAAAGCGGCGTGGGTTGAACCAAAACCAGGTCTTGGTGGACACGATTCCTGAGGCTCTCGTTTCGGATGTTTTCGGGATCCTTTCGTCGGCTTCTCTGCGGTTTCCCAACCTCGGGATGCGTTCCAGCAGCTGCTCCTCGCCGAGAGCGTTCAGGGGGTGCCCGAATCGTCCCGAATGTGGGGGCCGCTGGCTGCCAGAGTCTTGACTCGAAAACCAAGGGGCGGGGTCCTGGGAGAAGCGTGCCCGAAGGTGTTCCCCTGCTCTCGGCCTCCTCACGGCCCTCCACGGGACCCGGGACGGTCCAAAGAACAACGGCTCGGGATGAAGAGCTGGTCCTCGAGGCTTTGTGGGCCCCGGAAACGGAAGGGCCGTTTTTTCACCGTTTCTAAAAAAATGTCCCTTGAAAATGGAAACGGCAAAAAAAAGGCGACCGGAAACGGTAAAAAAACGGCTCCAGGATTGGAGCCAGAGCCGGAATCGGTCTAAAAACGGCGACGGAACCGGTAAAGAAACGGCGTCGGAACTGGCAAAAAAACGGCAAAACGGAACCGGGAAATAAACGGCCCTGTCGTTTCCAGGGCCCAGGGCCCGTCTCCCATCCGGCCCCCCTGTCATCAGGCCACGAAGGCAGCCGCGGGGCTGGAGGCGGCCGCGGGGCCGGGGCCCCGCGCCTCTGCGGCCATCTCCCTCTGCGACTTCTCCGAGGAGGTGCTCCGCCTCGTGGTGTCCTTCGAGGCGCCCGGCCGCCTGCAGAGGCCCCGTGGGGGGGCAGGGCGCCCGCGCGCCACGCCGAGCTGCTCGGATGCCGGCCTGCCTCGGCCTCGCCTCTCTCCGAGTCCCGGTCAGAGCCCCTCTTGGAGAGATCCAGGCCTCGGAAAACATAGCGAACACTCATGCCACATTCATCTGTGAACGCCTCCCCCTCCCCCCAATGTTCAAAGTTGGCGGTGGGTCTGATGAGTTGCACCTCGACCGCAGTCTCCCCCCCGCGTGCCAACTTTGAGTTTGGGGGGCAGGGGGGGTGTTCACTAATTGTTTCCCTCTACCGCCTGGAGGGGGGAGCAGCTGCAAATCGGCACATCTGGCCTCGGGACCCTGACCGGAGCCCACCCACTGGGAGAGGCCTGGGGAGGAGCAGCGGCATACTGGTGCATCCTGTTACCCAGGCTGCCTCCCCACAGGCTCTGGGAGGCCTGCTCCCTCCTCGACGTGTTCGCCAGGGCGCGGCAGCCCGCGTTCCGGCTGATGCCTTCCCGGGGCGCGGCCGTGCCTCCCGACCTCGTGATCCAGCGGGTGGCGCGGCACACGATGATCAGGGAGCTCGACCTGTGCGGGTACTCCCTAAGGGATTGACGATCCAATCGGTTTGCGGGGGCCAAGCCAAATTAATAAACGTAAAACCACCCGAATCCGGACAAATCCAAAGACGTCGAGGTAGACCCAGAGATCTCCAGGTAGACCTAGAGCAACGCGTGGACGCTCCAGCGCCAGTCGAGGGACAGGCGAGGTCGTCAAGCCTTTAACAAGGTACCAGGACCTGCCAGCTTCCGCCACCAAGCCCCTCGCAGACGCGCTGGGTGGCGGCGGTGGTGGCGGCCTGAGAAAGCTCTGCCTCCGCGGCTGCAAGGCTCGGGAGGAAGAAAGAGTATCAATGACACGCTGCCGTTGTGAGCCCGTCAGCGTGCTACTGCTCCGTTTTTACCCGGAGGCCTGGTATTGCGAAGACCGGGTGCCGCCGACCCTGAAGGGAGACGACGACGACGCCGACGACGACTCAAAGGGGAAAGCCTCTCACACATTCCCGACAGGGTCTGGATTATCCTTCAGCGGCGGCGCGCTGATAAGTTCTCCACGGCGGCGGCGTGTTATTGATACTTTCCCAGGCCGCCGAAGTCATGACTTTTTCGCAGCGCAGACATTGATACTCCTGAGTCGTTTCTTGACGGTCCCACGGCCCGGCGAGGCCCCCAGGAGGCCGAAACCGGCAAACCAACGCCCGTCGTGATTTCTGTGGTTCACAGTGCGAGCATGCCGGGGGCTGTCTTCTGCTCCCCCGAGAGGCGCTGACGGACGCGGCGGTGCGGCGCCTGCTGCTCAGCTGCCCACGGCTCGAGGTGCTCGACCTGCTGGAGGTGCCGCGCCTGAGCGACCAGGCGCTCCAGGCGCCCCTCGGCGAGCTGCGCATGCTGCTGGTCGGCACGCTCGGGCGGCCGCAGGTGTCGTCGTGAAGCTTTGGGAAAACACACACTGTGGGAACAAAAACACACTGTGAGGAACAAAAACGCACTGTGTGTTCCCCCCCCCCCACACACACACTGTGTTTTTTTCCTACAGACTGTGTGTGTGTGTGTGTGTGTGTGTGTTTTTTCGCCCAGACATGCTCGCGTCGCGGCAGACATCACGGCGGGAAGTTGTTTTGGCCGTCCTGGGCATTCGGGGGCCTCCCTCGCCGGGCCCGGGGAGCCTCAACAAAACCGACTCGGAAGGAACAATAATTTGCCCCGGGGAAAGGGTCGGGACTTCGGGGGATCCGTAGGGGGAGCAGTCAAGACATCGCACGTCTGCGAACGGGTTCTGAGGAAAACGGGTCCTGCATTTTGTCGTCGCTCTTGGCCTCCCTCGCCTTCCCGGGGCCCGGGGGCTGCCAGAAAGAGATTCGGGGTGAGGAGCTGGCCCTGGAGGAAGACCTAGGACACAGGACTCGTTTCCCTTGGGACCCGCTGCCTTCATGGGAAAGGTGGCGGTCGAGAGCGCCAGCGAGCAGAGTCGCAAGCGTCTGATCGGCACCGTGGTCGCGCTGGGCAGCTGCGCGCCCGGGCCCCAGCAGCCGAGGCTCGGCATCACCCAGACATACTTCAGATTTGTTCCTGTGGAGGCGCAAGAGACGCAGTCTGGATGGCCCCGGGTCAACGCCGATGCGCCGTCAAATGGCGGGATCTGCATCCTGTCCAGGATTTATGGAGATTGGCTGGATATTCCATCATCTGAAGTAGAGGTATTATTTTTTTGACTACATCAGGCTAGCGGGGTCCCGGCCAGGCTACGCAAGACGAGTGTTCTGCCAGGCTTCTAGGGGGGCAGGAGGGGCTTCATGACTCCTGAGCCCCCGTGCCCCTCAGGTCTGCCGTCGCGGTGAGCTCGTCCCTGTGAACAACATTTGCACTCGGGCGCACCCACAACAGCTCACAGGACCTTCGGCACGGCGATGCACTAATGTGGGCGTCGGCCCTCCAGGGGGCGACGCGCGCGCGCTCGGAAGTCTTATAGCAGGTGCGCGGTGGCGGGCGTCTTCTGGCCATCCCGCCAGGGTAGCTATGTATATATATATATAGGCATATATATATATATGGATATTTTTATATATATATATGTATATATGTATATGTATATGTATATGTATATGTATATGTATGTATTTACCTATCTGTTATATATATATATGGCATGGACCTGCTTGTGCTGGGCGTTCGCTTCGGACCCTGCGTCTGCAGAGGGGCCGCACAGCTCTGGTGTGTCCCCCTTGCGCCCCAACAGGCAGCAGAGAGTGCTGGGCACCTGCGACTTCACCTCGGCGCTCCTCGCGCGGCTGGCCAGGCCGCCGGCCGGCCCGGCCTCGGCAGCGGGAGGGCCGCGGGAGGGCGCCGGCGCCGCCCCGGTGGGCGGCTGCCCTCTGCTCGAGCACGTCGTGTTCGCGCACTGCGCCGAGGTGATCGGCGCCACCCGCACGTGCTGATATATCGGGGGTGGACAGACCTCCTACCCTGACACGTCGATTAAGGAATTGGCCGTTTTCGGTTCGCGAGGGGGCGTCGCGGCCGTCATTTTTGCGGGTCCAGGTCCGTCGGTTTCGGTCCCAGGCCGTTTTCACTAAAGGGAGGTTTACTAAAGGGAGGTTTGTCCACCGCCGAATATATGACCTAGATGACCACCCTTCGGGTGATCTGGAGGCTGGGGGGTAAAGAACCAACTGAGGACACCTGCGATGATTGTGATGGTGGCGATGCTGGGGATGCGCTCACGAGTCACCAATCGGGGCACCATCGGGGCACCATGGGGACACCAATCAAAACGAGAACCCAGTACAACATCAGGACACCCCAAACGTGCTACGTGCTTGCACAATATGTGCATCGGCCACGCGAGGGCGAGCCCAGCGCTCGGAAATCTTACAGCATAAGTTCCGCGGCGGGCGCTTTCGGGCCATACCGCTCGGGAGACGATAGACTAAATGTCTGACGGCTTTTCCATCAGAGGCACGTCGTACTACAACCCTCGACAACATGAACTTCAAAGTGGTTGACGCGCCACTTCAGCGTCGCCCCTTTTCACCCATTCGATGTCGCCCCCCTTAATGTCGAAGCAGAGCGGAGCGCGGCCTGGGCGGGTGCGACTCGGAAGTTCCACGATCACCGACCCTGGAGAGGCGGCGCCAACAAGGAGTCTGCGCGCCATGCCAGCCCGGCCCAAGACACCACGTCGACGAGGAAAAACTGCACGACGCGTTCTTTTGCGGTGGCTCTCGCCGAGGGTGCTCTCCCTCTGCGGCCCCAGGTGAGGGTGCTGCCGCGCCTGTCGGCCACGCTGCGCCACCTGGACCTGCGGGGCGCCTCGCTGCAGCTCCCGGCGGCGGCGGCGGAGAGCTGGCGCCCGCTCGCCGGCTGCAGGCAGCTGGCCGTGCTGAACCTGGCCCACAACGCGCTGCTCGGCGCCTCCGCGATCGCCGCGTGCGTCGGCTCCCGGAGGGACGGGGAGGTTCCAGAGGCCTCCCAGATGGGGTCCAGGTGGACGGGGTCGGAGGATCGCCAGGCACTGGCGATGCATGGGCGACACGGCTCGATGTGAGGCCCGATTTCCTTCACGTCGACGTCGCCGGCGCATCGCCGAGGTGCATCGGCGATCCCCTGACCCCGTCGACTTGGACCCAACGTAGGAGGCCTCTGAAGATACCGATGCCGCTACTCCGCGGAACTCGGGGTGCGTTCTGACCAGGATGCCGAGGAGAATCCAGCCGTGGCGACGGCCCAGACATGCGATGTCCGATGTTTGGATTCTGTTTACTACGCGGTCCCTGGAAGCCCCGACCCTTTCCCCAGGGCCGGTTTTTCATCCGCAGCCGTTTTTTGATGGCGCCCTGGGTCCTGGCGAGGGCCTCCCTCTGTAGGCCGAAAGCGACGAGAAAGCTTTGTTTTGTTGTCTCTCCTGGGGTGCGCTCTGGCCAGGGTTCCGATCATCCAGCCGTAACGACGAGGTTTCTCCAGGACGAGCAGCGGTATCGCTACCTTCTTTGAGACCCGACGTTGCGAACTTGCAGCATCGTGAAAATCGCGGCCAGAGCCTCGGACTCCATCCTTCTGCGCCATCTTTCGAGCTGGATCCACCAGTGAGGGTCCTGAGGCCCGAAGCTGGGCGAAAACGCCCGGCTCGAAGAAATCGAGACGCCAGGATCTCAGGGACGAGCAGCGGCATCGGTACCTCCTCCTCGTCCGACCGAGGCTCCCTGCCGCCGTCCGCCGCGCTGAGCTAGGGGGTCACATGCGAACCCTACCCCTACTTCCCACGATTTCTGAGGGGGAGGGGTAGGGTTCGCATGTGGCCCCCTATGAGCGCCCTCGACCTCTCCGACACGAGCGCGGACAGCGGCCTGCTGGCCGCGCTGCCCGCCAAGCAGCCCCGGCTCAGCCACCTGCGGGCCTCCGGGTGCCGCGGGCTCTCGGACGAGGTGCTGGCCGCGTGGCTGGGTGGGCTGGCCTGGCTGCAGGCCCTCGGCCGGGGCGATCCAGGAGGGGCCTCGGCTTCGAGGGGTCGAGGGGTTGGCATCTCTGCGGCGGCGGAAAGGCGGCGGAGGGGGGCGGAGGTAGAGCGAGGGCCGTTCTGCCGGCGGAGGCCAGCGGAAGTGGAAGAAAAACCACAGGAGATGACAACATTTTTGGGGCTCAGGGGTCTGCAACGCGCCAGTTGAGGAAGCGGTCTTGGCATCGGTCGGGCGTGTGCATTTTTCTCGTCGAGGCCAGCTTCAGAAAGTCTTGACCATCGTGGAATATCTTGGACCATCTTGAGAAGCAAGAGCACGCGCGAAACCATACAATTCGACGTCCGAGCGATGGCAAGAGGTACCCACACCGCTACCCTGACCTCGTTTTGCCCTCCCGGGCTTCCGAAGAGCTCACGCCGCCGCGGCTGGATTCGCCCCGAATATCTGGTCGCCCGGGAGAGGTCCGGCGAGTGGCGGCATCAGTATTTGGTATCTAGTCGCCTTCGGCCCATCCCGTGCCTTGGTTGTGGGTTAGAGGTCTCTTGGATGTTCGTTTAGCGTTTGGATATCGCGGGAGGCTTCTCGGGGGCTTCTTGGAGGCAGTCTTGAGACCTCTTGGGGGCCGTTTCGGGGCCTCTTGGGGCTTCTTTTGAGCCTCTTGGGGGCTTCGTGGGGCCTCTAGGGGGCCTCTTGGGCTCTCTTGGGGGCCTCTTGGGGCTTCCTGGAGGCCTTGGGGCGGAAGGCTCGAATTGTCGGTTCGCGTTCCCTTTCTTGGGCCCCTCTTGGGGCCGTCTTGGGGCCCCCTTGGGCGATCTTGGGCGCCTCTTGGGCCGTTTTGTGGTCCTCTTGGACTGCCTTAGGGGCCCTCTTGGGGACCTCTTGGGCCTTCTTAGAGCAGTCTTGGGGGCCTCTGGGGCCATCTTGGAGCGTCGGAAGCTCGAAAACGCGAGAATGTGAACAACAACGAAAGACACGGAAACCAATGATGTTTGCCTCTTTGGGCCCTCTAGGGGTTCCTCTTGGAGCGCTCTTGGGCTCTTGGGGTTTCTTTGGGGCATCTTGAGCGATCTTGAAGGCCTCTTGGAACCTCTTGGGCGCTTTCTGGGGCCCTCTTTCCTCGTTCCGTGGCCCTCTGGCTTCTGGAAAAGTCACGCGGGGCAGCCCAGGGACGCGCAGGAATGCGTTGGGAGTTTGAGAATGTGGGGCCCCAGCCCTGAGAATACTAGAATCCCAGAGTCCTCTTGAGTACAGAGAACAGAGGACACATGAGGACCTGTAGAAAACTCCACCTCACGCCTCGCGGCACCGCGGCGGATCTTTTGTCGGGAGCGGCCAAGAGGGGTTATGGAATTTAGGCATCATGGCCACGGTACGGTACGTACGGTACGGTGGCAAGAGCACGCGGCGCCGTACGGTCAATGCTGTTCGGTTAGGGCCACCAGGGTCGGCAGCACCAGCAAGGTTTCAGGACCGCGCGATATTGGTACCGGCACGATGTCCCTTGGGAGGACCGCGGGGGTCCTGAGATTCCGGGCGGTCCCGGTACTGGGGGGGGGCCTGGGCCGACGGGGGTCCCGAGACTGGGGAGGGGGTCAAGGGGCTTGGTGGGGGGCTCGGGACCTGGGGGAGTCCTGGGACCGGGGGGGGGGATCCTGGGACCCGAGGGAGGTCTCGGGACTCGGGTGGGCGAGGGTCCCGCCGGGAGGGGTCCCAGTCAATGCACTCCTCTCCGCACCACCTGCTGCCGGTGCCTGCGCTCCTTTGCACTGACATGTACTGCACCTTTCCGGCCGCAGTTACATTTGGCTTAGAGTATCGGTCAAAGGAGCGAGCCTGCTTTCGCGCGCGTCGGCCAGCGGGCCGGCCTCCTCACTTCAGGGATACTGTTATCGTCAGTTTACTGGAACACTCCTTCCTCGCCATTGCTTCGGCGGAACCCCCTGATCTTGAGACAGCATTGGAACATAATGCAGGGATTATCAATGTCCAGGCAACAAGCTGGTTATCAGCCGAAACGACGGCTCAGCCGTTGGCTTCGCTGAGCATGGGATCACAGGAAGGAACGATCGGGGAAGTAGAACGACAATACCGTCCCGAGCGCATTCTCAAGAAAGGCGCCTCTAGGGGGCGGCTTCTTTCTTTCAGTCTTCCCAGAAGGCAGGCATTGGAATCCGTGTTTGATTTGACAGAGGGAGATTCCCCAATACAAAAAACCAGATGGAGACAATAGTTCAAACGTCAGGCAGAGGGCATGGCTCAGCCAGCGCTTCCATCAGAAGGCCATCTGAAGTCGCATCAGTGCACGCAAGGCCGAGAATATCAGTCAGCTCGACCCGTGGAGAGGAGAGCTCGCCAGGAAATTTTCCCACCGGCGCAGTGGGTGGAGAGCATCGTGACGAGGAACAAATAACACAGTTTGTGATGAATGGACAGGGCGAAGACGAGAGCGGTGGACAGTCAGAGGAAGAGAGCTCTCATTCGATGGAAACGAACGAAGAATATGCCCAATTTCATACGTCGCCTGGTCCATCATATCATCTCAATCCTCTCCAGAACGCATCTGACGGGATGCCTCAGGCGTTGACATGTCGGATACCGAGACAATTGATTACGCGCCGGGTGAGGACCTTCGGAAGGCTATCCTTGATTCGGATGACGATCTTGAAGAAGAAAGAAGCTCCGAAAGCGGGAGGGTTGGCCATGGAGGGGAGAGTTCCTCGGCTCACCCGATAGAAACTCGCCCGACGCCATGCGTCCAGCCCGGCATTCGAGAGAACCGACCGGTGCGACTCCACTCCCGAAGACAAAGAAAACAAAGAGCGATACGGATGATCTTAATCCTCCACCGTTGCCGAAGGGTTTCTGTCGACAAAGTTTCATGCCGCCGAGGGTTGGCCATGACAGTGCACCAGAGCTTGGCGAGCTGATTGCGCAAGATGCACGGCATGGGCGAACGCAGAGACAACGCGACACTCTTCGGAACAAGGGGTCAAGAATGAGGCGGCAACATGCGCCGACATCATGCAGGGGTTGTGAAAAGGCTCCAAGAGACGGACGTTCCAGCTCCAGAGGATTTGACGCCCTCGAGTCACCTCGTCCGTCGTCGAATAGGACCACCAGTCGTTTTTCTACCCTGGATAGCTGCAGGAACGCGGGCTCCAGATGCCCGCCTCAGGCGGAGAACCGTTGCCCGGGGAAGGCGTGCACGGCAGGGGGTCCGTGTCGCCGACATGTATGTGCGCAGTGTTCGAAGGTATGTCCGATATGTAGCTGATCGTGGCTCTTCGAAGAATGCGTTGCGCTGGAGGAACGGAACCGCCGTTGTATCGCCATTCAAGAATGGAAAGAAAGCGTAAGCAGGATAGATAGCAGCTGAGGGCAGCAAATGCACATATGCAGCATATTCTTTTTCACGCACACGCGGATAAGACGGCCGCCGAAAAAAAAAAAAACGCCAACCGCGCGCTCGCTGAATCCGAGGCAGGGAAGAGGGCAATGGTACATAATAGAGCTGAAAAGGAAAAGGCTGCCATCGCAGGAGGCGCGCAGAAACGACTGCTGCAATCGGGGGCAGAAATAGTAGGGGTTGCGGGCGTGGCTCGGCGGCGTGTCGCACAAGAAGAGGAAGAGAAGCGGAGGGTTCAGGGGGCGGCCGAACCAGCGATTTCGCCGTCGCAACTGCTGATGCAGCCAGACGGGAAGGAGAGAGAGTGGCCCGAGAGCAGGCAGCGCGAGAAGACCAGGAGCTCCGCAACCAGCGTGATGCTGCCAGGCTCGAGGCCGAAAAGATAAAGCTGGACGCGGCGAGAGGGCCCAGGCCCTAAGGCATGGCGACCAAAGAGGGGTGGCCGAGGCCTGGAACCACGCAGGGGAGTGCGCGGATGAGCAGATCAAGAACGATGCACTCGTCATTCGTGCCGTGAGCGAGGAGAAGAGAAGGCTAAAGTCTGACCTAGAGCAACGCAAGACTGCGAGTCAGTCCCTAGAGAAGATCCAGACAGCTCGGCAATCTGGCGTGGTAGCTGCGTCAGAGGCCAGGCTTGCGCCTGCGGCTCTGCCGGGAGGTGTTGGATCGCAGGAGAGGGCCAACTCAGCGCCGGCCCAGCCGACGTACGTTGAGCCTCGTCCGAGTCCGATTGTTATTCGCCTGGTCCGAGTGTGGGCGGCCAAGCCGACCCGAACTCGAGTGGGTGCGCCAGATGAGCCATATGTCTCGTATGTTCAAAGCTTTTCGTCGGGATTTGCGCGGGGCGTGCGACGCCCGCGCGCAGGGGGCATCTGGGCGGATGTACCATGGGGTGCACAGGATGCGCCAGGAGCAAGGAGGCCAGGGAACAAGACGATTCCGTGATAAAGGCAGAACAGTTGAGCATACTTGAAGACATCTATCGCAACAAAAGCGAGGCAAATGAGACGGCGCCGAGACGTTCGAAGAGATCGGACGAGATCACTGAAAGGCGCCAGCAGCCCAGCAGCAAATGCAAGCGCTAGAAGATCAGGGCCGAGCTGGCAGCAATCAAACGAGACGTCGCCGCTGCCAAAGCAGATCAGGAAATGTCGCCGAAGACGAAGGAACGCGCATTGCAAAATGACGCTGGATTGGAACAACAGGCTAGCAATTTCGCCACGCTAGGATTTAAACCGTCGTTCAAATCGACGGAGTCGGACTTTAATCGAATGCCCCCGTTAACGGCGCAACGCGCACCCAGGCTTCCTCTCTCGAGCTCGCGATTCATCCCAGGGCCGGTCGTCGAGAAATCCTATGACCCGAATGGAGGTTCAATCCGGGAAAATATTCAAGGACCGAGCCCTGGTAACGCCCCTTTTAACACCAAATTCTCAGGGCCCCCCGACAACTGCGATTCACCTGGCCACCTTCCTTTCACCCGCGGCACAGCCGTATCTGGTGGAGGTGGGGGCGGACAGGGAGGCAATGATAATGGCCAGAGGGGTGGCGAGAGTGCAGCGCCCAGCACCGGGATGATTGCGGCGACGCAGTTCGATGAGACAGGGAAGCCTACGCCGCCAGGCGACCCTCCGGGGGGGCCTGGCGATGGGGGCCCAGGCGGAGATGGTGGTGGAGGGCCGAATGGCCCCGACAATCCCGCGCTGCGACCATGCATTGCCAACCCAATGGGCCCCGATTGGAGAGACTTCGGGAATGGCAAGGGGCATGGCCTCATGGACATCCCGAGTTGGAAACAACACTGTATAAGGGCGGTGGCTGGATCCTGGCATGGCGTCAAGCCCGCGCGCGCAAATTTGGATCGTGGAAGCCATGAATCCAGAGATTCTCGAGGATGACCTCCAGACTGCCGAAGTCTTCATGCGCCTTGACATGATGATAGCAACGGGCTTGCTTGAGGAATTTGCCAGAATGAAACGTAGCCGTATCCTTCCGGTACGCCATGCCCATTTCTTCTGGCAAGTCAACCGCATGGAACATTCGTGTCAGACTGAGCAACGCCTCCTCGCTGGGCGCGACATGGTTCGTGCCATATGCGTCTGGTGTTCGGTCAGGTCCGAAAATGGCCAGCACTGGATGCGCAGTGAGATCTGTTCAAGATCATTATCGGTCTCCAGAAACCCAATCAGGACTTGTATTATTTGTATAATGAAGGGATGGGGCGCCATCAGGAGTTGTATGGCGCCAGAGAACCGTCGGGCGAAATGAAGGCCTCAATCCATGCGCGTGTCTACGAACAGGTCAAGCAAGTTCCGAGGCTAGACGGGTGGTGCGTGGTATCGACAGACCCTCCCAGAACGGGAATGCGTTCTTACCAGTGGCTCCTGTGGCAGGTTGAGTTGCTCATGATGCGGGATCGTGAGAAGTGGGCAATCTCCGAACACGAGTCGACCCGGAATTCTAAAAATAGACAGGCCTGCCTTCGCGGCGGGATGAATGAGGGGCGGCGGGGGCGGACGACGAGCCTCCGCGATGGCAGCGACAGCGCGCCGGCTAGGCATTCCCCTTGACAAGACAGCGAGCGGGCGCGCCAAGGGCGAGACGACCTGTAGATACGTCAAGCAAGGAAGGGATTGCCCCGAGGCGGGACAGGGTTGCCCTTGCGACCGCAAGAAGTCCAAGACGCCAGCTGCTCCGGCCCAGCCGGCGGCGGGTGGCGCTACCAGCTGAAGGGGGGAATGATCGGAGAGGCGGGAGGGGGAAACCAGGAAACAAAGGTCCAAAAAGGAAGGTTCGGCCTCGTTTTTCGACTGCGTCGAATAAGTTTGGCAACTCCAGCGCAAGACGATCGCGAACGAGACGCCGATCCGAGACCTCGCGAGAACGTCAGGGCAAGCTGGTGCGTCACACCTTCTCGCGAGACCCTCGCAACTGTAAGGGTCCACAGAGTGGATGCTACAAGCAGCATCGAGGCTTGACGGAAGCCGAGAAGATAAAACCAGATGAATACGAGGAAGCTCAGCTTCAAGCAGGAAGGTCTCTCGGCTGCCAACGGGCCACTAAGCAAGCCAACTCCGCTGCTGCTAATGCCAGCAGTGCCGCGCCAGGGGAGGCACCGCGAAGCCGGGAGTCGAGTGGGGTTCGTGACAAGAGTAGAGAAGGGCAAAGTACAAGTGAAAGACAAGCCGTGCAAAGTGTTCGCGGAAACAGGTGCCTGTTCGCGTGGCAAGGACTGCTCGTTCGCGAAGAACACGCCTGGCCATCCGTGACGATGGCTGAGCACTGGCGGAGTTCGCGCCAGTGCTGAGATGCTGACGGGACAAGTCTTATTCTTCATGCTGATGATCGTTCGCCTCGCTATGAGGGTGTCACGACGCCCGTGTCGGCTCGGCCGAAAAAGGGGAAAGCGGACTTTGGCCCACTGGCTCAGCCAGTAGGGGCACTTACGCGTGTCCAGCCCCGCTGGCTAGAGGCTCCCGTGGCCTTCAGATTAGCCCACCGGCAAATTTCGAACGGTTGAGATATACCATGCGCGTGCCATAGGAATTAATAAGTTCTCCGAGGAAGCAGTTCCCGCTTCCGAAACGCAGCATGAACGTAAGGAGAGGCTGACAAACTCGTCGCTATCCTCGTTCAGTTACAACTTCTTCCAAGGGAAGCCATTGCATTGTTTTGTGGCGAACCCCATATGAAAAGTTGAACGTAACGCAGGGCTGGTCAATGTCCAGGCAAAGCTGTCCCGGGACCCGGGGTTCGGCGGCCGCGGCTGGTTGGCCCAGTACGGAGAAGCCGCGGCGGGAGTATCGTCCGGCACGGTGGCGGTGGCCGGCGCGGTAAACGATAGCGGTGGCCGGTATACGATATTGTCCGGTACGGTAAGTGCGGGCGGTTGGCGCGGTACAATGCGAGCCGGCATTTGGCGGCCGGTATCCGGCACGGTAGGGGCCATCATGTTTAGGTTATTGCGATTGCGTTGGTTACGAAGTGGGCAGCCTTAATGGGTTTCTTACGGCTGGCCTTTTCTGTCTTGCTGTATATTTTATGCCGCAGACGTCGAGAGATCTTGTCCAGGTAGTCTGACCGATTACCATTGGCTGCCTTGCTGCGGAACTTGCTAAGCTTTGCTAGCTGCCGCGCTACGAAACATTCGCGAACTCGGGGGTGGATATCATGGCCGTGGCCACGAGACCTCTCCGATTTCATGGTGCCCCCCTCTTCTCTCAATGAGCCCCCCGGGCCCTCCCCAGGCAGCGCGCATACCGCCGGCCATGCTGTGTAAACTCCCCTCTGAAACGCCCCGCTGTCGGGCGCCACCAATTTTGGTTTCCCCAGGTCCTGGACGTGTCGCACTGCGACGCGCTCGACGAGCCCTTCGCGCTCGTGGCCGCGGCGCCTGCGGGCGCCGACGCGCCCGCGCCGGCCCCGAGGCTTCGGCTGCTGGGCGTCGGGGGGACGCGGCTGGCCACCTGCATCGAGGAGACGCGCCGGGCACTCGGCCGCGTTGCCCCCGGCGCCGTGGCTCTCGGGAGCTCCAAAAGTTTTGGGAGTGATTCTGTAGGGCTTCCAGATGGGGTGCGTGTAGATGGGGTCGGAGGATCGCGCCGCATCGCCGATGCACAGCCGACGCGGCGCGATGTGCAGCGCCGCATTCACGCCGACGGCCCCGATACATCGCCGACATCGCCGATGCATCGCCAATGCATCGAGCAGCGTCAATGCAGCGCCGATGCGTCGGCGATGCGGCGCCATGCTCCGACCCCATCTATTCGGACCCCATCTGGGAGGCCTCTAGATACGATCGGGAACTTTGGCTTAGCGTGTCGTTCCGCCGGGTCTGGCCCATCACGCTTCGGCGTGACGCGCTATCCACATCCAGGTCCCCGAGCGTCAACATCCCGAGCCCTTTCTGACCTCCCGCCCCGCGGAGCGGAGCGACACGTGTCGCCAGGGCCACCGCTACGACACACGAAGCGAAAGTTCCTGACCGCAGAGTCCCACCCTGCCAAGTCGATTCGCGAATCGCCCTTCTGCGGTCCTCGAGAGGGTGTTGCGGCAGCATTGTTTGCGGGCCTGTGCCCGCCGGGTCTGGTCCCGGGTCGTTTTCACTAGAGGGTGTTTTGCTACATGGGTTTCTGTCCACTCTCAAAGACAGTCGGTGACCACACCGTCGGGTGAGTCAGTGGGAACTCGGGTTGAGCGCACAGTTTGGGATGCCTTGGGCAACAGGGTCGGCTCCGATGATGGCTCGGGCAGCTGTCGAGTAAACGCGAAAGGTGCGTGGATTAGCAGCGGGTCCTCTCAGGCGGCACTGGCCTCGCGTTTCGGGGGTACCTTGCCCGAGCCGTGGATCTTGCGCCCACTCGCCAGATCCACGGATCCGCAGTCCATGTCCGCCTGCGCCCGACATTGCGGCCTCCAGGACCCTAAAGCCGCGCGGTGGCGAGCCGTCCAGAGGGCCCTCGTTGGGGAAGCTGGAGGCCACCTCGACGGCCTGCCGCCGCACCGCCTTGTTTGGACCCCCGAGGCTCGCACGACCGCGCTGGACCTGTTCGACGGCTACCGGCTGCTGCCGCCGACCCTGTGCGGCGACGGGGGAGGAGATCGCAGAAGAAACATGGCACCCTTGAGGCACAATTCTAGACAGATAATTCCACAGCTGCATATGCAGGATGGCCACACGTGGAGGGCACGACGGGGGGCCACGACGAGGGGCCACGATGGGCCAAGGATTCCGGGAGCCCTGGCTCCCTCTCCCGCGTTGGAAAATAGCATACAAGCTGTTCGAGGAACGACGTGAGCATTAAGCTTTCGGAGGCCCGCACAGATCTCCGAACGCTTATCTTCGTGCCCCAGACGCCCGATGCCTGGATTTTTTCGATGCGCGGTCCCTGGAAGTCGCGACCCGTTCCCCACTGCCGCTTTTTCGTGATGGATCGTTTTGTTGACGGCCCTGGGGCCCGGCAGAGGCCATCAGAGGCCGTACAGCCGAAACCGATCGTAAGGATGAGTAAAAGTCCCCTTGCATCTTTGCTTCCTCGGTCGATCCTAAGCCCCTTTCGATGGTCAGCCCCGCTCGAACAGCTTCGACGTGGGCGTACAATGGACTTGCATCCTTGGGGCGCATCCATACCATCAGTTTTGATTGTAAGGGACGAAACAAGTTCCCATTGATGCTTGTCAGTGCGTTGGGTGAAACTTTCCTCTCAGGGACTCAGGCCGAAATCCCCTCGCGAGAAGCTCGGTGGGGCAGAAATGCAATGCTCAAGTGAAACCAGAGGCTCGTCGAAGGACATTCTGCAAGTGAGGAGCCCTCGTAATTGGTGCAGAGCTTTTTTTGGGGGGGGTCCTCGAGGAGCAGCCCAGGTCGCCCCGAGCGGGGCCGCCCCCGATGCTGCGGCCGCAGCGGGCGGGGCCGGCGGAGCGCGCCGGGCGAGCGCCTGGGCACGCGCGGGCTCGTAGAGACGGGGGGGGGGGAGCGGGCGTCGTGAAGGCTCCTTCTACTCGTGCAAGCGACGGGCAGGCGTAAAGCTCACATTCCTGAGGCCACGGCCTCCTCCTCCTCCTCCTCCTCCTCCTCCTTCTCCTACGATAGCTTTCCATAAATCACGTTTCTTTCTTTCCTCGCGACGGCCGCCCGCCCATGCTGCCATAGTGGAATCTGGTGGTGGCGCCGCGGTGGAGGTTGGCAGTTCACTGCTGACCCGATGTTGTCGTCCGACAGTACATCAAGTTTTGAACGTCCTCACACTGATCGCAGTCGCAGCGATGCGGCTAAAGAACATCGAAGGAGAGAGCGACCTCGTCATGATCGTGATGCTCCTCCTGAGAGGCGTCGTGAGGACCGCCCACGACGTGTCCCACGCGATGAACGCTCTGTCCCCCAAGCTGAACGCGGAGGCCGAGAAAGACGATCTGGGCGTGCTGGTGCTCCCGCTACGGCTGTCGACGCACACCGCCCTGGTCCAGGGGATCCTCTGCTTGTGCGTGATCCTTGGAGGCGTGATGCTGATAGTGCTGCTGAGGAACGGCTACCGCTCTCCTCTCAAGAAGCAGCCCAGATTAGTGCCGCCATGGATACAGTTCCCACGTTCCCGTCGCAAGAACAAGTTTCCTGGCAAATGGCTCACAGGGTACATCCAGCTGCTGCAGCTGCTGCTGCCCGTGGAGCTGATGACGGACATCATGTTGCAGGTGAACCTCCAGTTGGTGAACCCCCCCAGCGTGCACCTACGACTCCTATTTCAGGCACTGCCACACCAGGTGCTCCAGCCGATTTTCGTCAAATGGAAGCGCGTCTCCGTGATGCTGTACGTGTGGATACTGAGGCCATTCGTGTCGCCACCACTGCAGCGGCCACTGCTGCAGCTGCGACACAACTTGAATCAATTGCCAGTCAGCTTCGTGCCACATTTGTGCAGGAACTGGCTAAGACGATCAGGCGCATCGATGCACAGGCACGGGAAGTCCAGGATCTGCGACAAAGACAAGACAAAGCCGCCGCTGCTCAAGATGTCATGCGTTCTGAGGTCGAAGCCATCAAACAGCAGCTCGCCATGGCTGAGGCACAGCTCCCCTTCGATGTCGAGAACCTGGCGACATGGGACCGAGCGGTCGATCCACACATTTTCTCGATTGGTGTCGTCGCTCCTGCCTCTCCGCAAGCTGTCAATGACGCTCTTGCTGGTTGGATCGCTGATGCTAAGCTGCAACGGAATCAGATTGAGCTCGTCGGAGATGTCGTGGCGAGGCGTTTCACGGTCAGAGTACTTGGATCCAGGGCGGAAGCTAGCTCTCGTGCCACGGCATTGGTTCGAAGTCTGCGAACATCCACAGGTTGGAGGTCTTTCAACGTTGTTTCTACAGAGGGAGCCATGGTCGCCATGTATGTATCCACGGACAAAAGCCCGAAGATGGTCAGAGGAGAGGTGCAAGCCAAGAGAATGTGCAAGCTATTGGAAGATGCGTACCCGTCGCTTACCTGGAGATGTCGAAGAGCACAGTATCAAATTTTGGTCAACAGTATTCCATGCTGCCAACTGGAGCCGAGAGCTCAAGATGAACCCACCAGAATCAAGTGGAACCTTCACGCCATCGCTCAATTCGACATCGACAAGGACAGAATTGAATCAGCTTTCTCTCTTCTGCTTTCTCGCCAGTGGAGGTTCAGTGGTCTGGGTAGCACAGGCTGGGCTCCGTGGGAGCCCTACATTCGTGATGCAAAAGCTGGTCTTCGAATTATTTGCTGGAATGCCCGTAGTCTTCTTTGCTTAGATTCCAGCAAGAGAGCGTCAAAGTTGCGTCTACTATCGGAATACATGAGGCAGCGATTTCTCATCGTACTTCAAGAGGTGCGAGGTGACGAGCTGCGACTTCAGCGCTTGATTGATGATACCCCGTACTCATATAAATGCTACATGTCTGGCTTCGACGTGGCCGCAGGTGGTGTCGCTTTCTTGGTCCCAGGTCATCCGCAACATCTTCCTGTTCCTGCTGAGCTGAAGCCAACCTGTGTTTTGCTCCCTATTGTGCCCGGCCGTGTGGCCGCTCTGCATATTTCCTCCCCTGCGCACGAGTATACGATGTGTATATTGAATATCCACAATCATAACCTTTCGGCTTTAGATGTGCATGTTGTCGAACGTTTTTGGAATGAGCAGGTCCACTTAGCTCGGAACCATGAACGGACGTTCAAGTTCCTTGCCATGGGAGACTTCAATATCCCCGAGGCTCCTCCTCGCTCCTTTCGCTCCCCCCTTCAGGCTGCTTCTGACCCTCTTCCCCCCACTCACCTCCCTGTCATTGATAATCGTGGACAGCATATGCAGGCTCGCTGGAGGCGCATGTTCTCTTCTGTCACGGAGATCACGTCTGATCTCCCAACTAGGTACGATTCGCACAGATTGCAGGTCTCGTGCATCGATCGCTTCTTCCTTGCTGGCCCTGCTTCCCAACAGATGCTCTTGGACGTCACTCTTCAGATTGCGCACGAGAGCACACAGCTCTCAGATCGAGGCTTGTCTGACCACGCCATGCTCATGCTGAAAATCAAGCCGTCCGCTCCGCGCACTCAGATCGAGCGTGCCATCCCAGCGTACCTGTTTAGGACTGAAGAATTTCGTACTATTTTTGCCTGCATGATCTCTCACACTGATTTCGACGAACTGCCCACCATTCGTGCTTGGCAGGGAATCAAAGATGTAATGTATGAAGCAGCCGCTCTCACGCGAGACAAGCTGCAAGGTCCAGAGTACCATAGGCAGGCCCATCCTGATGCCCCCGTCACACGCATGTATCTGTTTCGGTCCATGGCACGCGCACTATGGCGGAATGATGTGTGCACGGCATCTCGCCTCATCGCTACTTCTCCTCTCGCTGCCTCTCATCTCGTCGTCTCTGAGGGCACCGTCGGTCTTCTCTCTCCTCCCGCCTTCCACACACAATGCGACGCAGCCAATGATGAATGGCACCAGCTCCGTGCCCTTCTCGCATCTGCAAATGCCTCACAGTATGATGAATTCGGCAGGCACAAGGATGCTTTCTTTCAACGCAAGATCGAACGGAAGGCTGCTCGGCGTGCACGCTTGTGGACACCATGGGCGCGTCAGATCAGGCTCGAAGGTGTGCGCGTGCACGTGCGTGACGATCCCACAGCATCAGAGGTCACAGTTTGCAATGACGAAGGAATATTCAAGGCTGTCCAGCAGCATTGGCAGCCGGTCTTTGCAGCACAAGAAGCATGTGATGAAGATATCTCTCGCTTCCTGCACTCTGTCCTCCCCCCTGCCCCTACTTTTGATGCTCCTCTTCCCAGTGTAGCAGCCCTTACGCACGCCATACAGCGGGCTAAGCCGAGTGCTCCTGGACCTGATAGGATCCCATACGCAGCATGGACATCCCATTCGTTGGCTACAGAAGTGTTACATCGTGTTCTGGTACATATTTACTCGGGCGAGTTTTTGCCATACGAAGCCAATCACTCACTGTTCGCCTTTCTCCCGAAGGGAGAAGAAGCGTCGGATGCGGCTCGGATTACTCGGCGTTGTCAGGACCTCCGCCCCTTGAGTCTCAAGAACAGTGATGTGAAGGCAATCAGCTCGGCGATCAACTTCACTTTGAAGCCCTTGGTGGAAGCCAGGGTGCACGGCAGCCAGCAGGGGTATATCACTGGTCGTAACTTTGTGGGCAACATACCCCTGCTTGATGCAGAGGCGAGGCGTGCTGGCTGGCTCGAGCATGGCTCTGAGCGAAGGCCTCTCCTTCTCTCCTTTGACTTCAAAGCAGCGTTTCCTAGTCTGAACAGGCGATGGTTAGAGCTAGTCCTGGCACACTATGGCGTCCCCCTCGGTGTCCAATGGGCTATCAGCGCGCTGTATCATGCTCCCATCGCATTCGCTCGTTTTGGTGACATGCCTCTCACCCCGATGTGTGAGCTGGCCAGTGGCGTTCTGCAGGGCTGCCCTCTGTCTGGCAGCTTGTGGGCTCTTTGCATGGACCCTCTGTTGCGACATCTCCACAGACCTTTCCCGTCACTCGACCACGGAGTGGTACGTGCTTGTGCCGATGATATAGGGCTCATTCTTCTCTGTGTGACACAGCTGCACATGATTGCTGAGACGTTCTGCTTTGCTGAACGCTTGGCCGGCCTAGCTTTGCAAGCATCGAAATGTGTCGCGGTCCCACTTTGGGCCCCTCTGTCCGCTGAAGTCCGAAGCCAAACGACTCAGGATCTCGGGTCGGTGTGTGAGGGTTGGCGTTGTTTCCAGGTGTCGGATGTCGTCAAGTATCTGGGTGTTTGGCTTGGACCAGGCGCGACGGCAGAGACGCAGTGGCGCGCTCCAGCAGAAAAATGGTGGAAGCGCATCCATTTGGCTAGCATTACCCGTGCTCCCCCGTCCGCCCTCACTCTGTTGTACGCCTCTGCCATTCTCCCCACTCTCAGTTACGTAGCCCAGCTTTTTTTGCCTATCCCACGGCTCCTGCAGCGGGAAATCCACGGATTACACAAGCTCTATCGTCTCCCTCCGAATGCTCTGAGGAAATGTGATTTGCTCTCTTTGAAGCACTGGTGCAGAGGAGGGGGGCCATCGTCCATCCTAGCTCTCTGCCTTTCATCGCTTTGGCGCACGTGCACGACCACTCTCGCGGGATGGAGACCTTCGCTCATTCGGCTACAGCAAGCCGCAGAAGGCGCCGCTTCTCTGCCTTGTTTCTCTGTAGGCTGCTGGTCCCCAGCTTGGTGGCAGGAGCAGACGTCGATCGTTCAAAGATTTGAGAATGCGTGCATGTGCAGACCGGTGCAGATTTATCGCACTTGTAGAGTTTCCTCAAACACTCTTCGCACTGCGGTGAGAGCTGGACGTGCTGAGGCCGCCAGAGTCGTTGCCGAATGTGAATCCCGCAGACCCAAGGTGCAACGTGCCATGCATGACGCTCTTTCTCGCCAACTGTTTCCTGATACC